GATTTTCAGAAAGATTGGACATGAGGTGTGAGAGAAAGCGAGGGTCAAGGATGATGCGATGCTCATCCTCAGAAGGACGGAGTTGCCTTTGACAAAAGAGGCTTGGGTTGAGGTCACAGGGAGTATGGCTCTGGACATGTGACATCCCGCTGCAGTGGGGGTCTTCTTTTCAAAAGCTGTCCTTGTCATGCCTGGTTCACCCTGATGTTTTCCCTCTTGCTTGGCCATATAAAGATGGGGTTCCTCAAGGCTTATGACCCTATATTGGATCCCTACCACCTCTCTGGCCCCATCTTTGTCCCTGATGTCTCTTTAGGTTCATTCTTCCAGCCACACAGCTATCTCTTTGGCTCCGTGAACATGAATGCTCTTTCCAGTCTCCAGTGCAGGCTGATTCCCCGGTCTGGAATGTTCAGCCCCCTCTGCTCCTCTGCCCCCATTCTTCATCTCACTTAAGTCCTGCTCAAGCTTCAGATTTCAGCGTATGCTTCATTACTTTAAGAAGACCTTCAAGGGGCGCCTGGGTGGCTTAGTCGGTTAAGCGTCCGACTTTCACTTAGGTCATGATCTCGCGGTTCGTGGGTTGGAGCCCCGCGCCGGGCTCTGTGCTGACGGCCAGCTCGGAGCCTGGAGCCTATTTCAGAGTCTGTGTCTCCCTCTCTCTCTGACCCTCCCCTGCTCATGCTGTCTCTCTCTCTCTCTCTCCTAGAAATAAATAAAACATTAAAAAAAAAAAAAAGAAGACCTTCAAGTCTTTCCATATGCTGTGCTCTCGTGTACTACATTGGTTTCCTGTAATTATATAATTGTATGGTTATTTGATTCATGTCCTTCCCACTAGACTGTAAGCTCCCAGGGAGCTGGATTCACATCTTTCTTGGTCACCATTGTACCTCTAATTCCTTACACAATGTCTGACATATAGTAAGCATTTAGTAAATGTCTGTTGATTAAATGAATTATGGTTCCTTACCCACCCAAAAGAAAATATCAATTTATACATTTATTCTTTTCAGAGTCTCGGTATAATTCTAACATAAGGAATACTGAACTTGAAATAAAACACAAAAGAAATAATACAACATTATCATTTATAATCATTCAAAGTTCAATATGCTCATTAAGAAATCCAAGCCATGATTGATCCCTTTCCTGTAAAATACGGCCTTGCTCACCAGATATCTGGTTCTCCTCAGATTTCCATTGTCCATCCCTGTGAAGACAAAGTCCTGTGATTTGCTCTGGCTATTAAAATGTGGACAAAAGGGAAAGCCATCAACTCGAGGCAGATGCATTTGAAAATTGGTGTGCAACCCTTCAGTTCCATCCACCTGGGTTAGTTTTCCTGTGGCTCCCATAAGAATTTATCACAACTGAGTGGCTTCAAATGACAGAGATGTCTTCTGTCACAGTTGGGGAGGCTAAGAGTGGATAATCGGGGTATGAACAAAGCCATCCTTCTTCTGAAGGCTCTAGGGAAGAATCTTACTTGGCTTCTTCTGTGTTCTGGTGGTTGCTGGCCATCCATGGCATTCCGTGCCTTGCAGATCCATGACTCCAATCTCTGCCCTAGTCGTCACATGACCGTCTCCCCGTGCGTTTCCTTCATGTCTCTGTGTCAAGGTCTCCCTCTCGTTTCTCTTAGAAAATACGAATTATTAGATTTGGGGCCCACCCTGGTCCAGGGTGACCTCATCTTAAATTGATCACATCTGCAAAGCCCCTACTTACAAACAAGGTCACACTGACAGGTACAGAAATTTAGAACTTGAACATAGCTTTGTTGGGGGAGACACATGAACCCAGCCCATGAAGCACACGTGGAGATCGAGCCTTCATCAGCCTGGGTCCCAGGGTTATTGCAGTGAGACAGGTTTGTGTCTCCCAGTTCACCTCAGTTCAGTCCTGTGTCTCCTGAGTGTGATCTTGATCACCTGCACCGGGACAAGTATTTATCCCTATAGCTGTTTGATGACTCCATTTCCCTGACTCATGCAAATTAAACGTGTCATTGCTGTATACCATTTTCTTGTGACCCATCTGTTCTTCCATAGAATATATTCCTGTTGATCATTAGTTACTGAGTGTCTGCCATATGCTTATCATAGTGCTATTTGCCAAGAGGAAGATGTGGGGTTTTAGACACAAAGAGCCTAGCTATAAGGAGTATATTATCTAATCTAATACACTTATTGTGCTATGTGCCAAGAGGAATGTGTGGGAAATTAGACACAAAGGGCCCAGAAAAAACTATCATTGTTGGCTGAAATTATCAGAGGACACCAAATAATATGACTTAATAAGCAGTAATGCTAACAGAGTTCCTAGTTTGTTTAGGTACTGTAGTAAGCACTTTATGGTATTGTCCCCTTTCAACCCCATGAAGGCTGCATCCCACTGGGCTGGTGTTTTCTATCTGTTTTACTGGTGAGGAAACCAGCTTATAAAATCTTTTGTTTTAATGTGTATTTATTTGAGAGAGAGAGAGAGAGAGAGAGAACGTGCACATGCACAAGTGAGGGAGAGGAAGACATAGAGGGAGAGAGAGATTCCCAAGCAGGCTCCGCACTGTCAGCGCAGAGCCAGACACGGGGCTCAAACTCATGAACTGTGAGATCATGACCTTAGCCAAAATCAAGAGTCTGACACCTAACTGACTGAGCCACCCAGGCGCCCCACAAGCTTAGAAAGTCGTAAGCAGCTTGTCTAATGGTCATTCAGGATTCCATTCCAGGTCGGTCTGATTCACAAACTTGGAATCCTATGGCCTTTCCGGTACTGCCTCTTCAATTCCGCTCAACCTTGATAGCCTGCTGGTATATGTAGTACTCTGAGCTACACAAAGTTTGTTTCTCCTTATGCAATTATCCTCGGGCTGAACTTAGGTGTGGCAGTATCAACAGGTTGCAGTAATAAATAGAAGAGTTAAGCCACTCTTCAGTTTTTCTCTTGGCATTCTTAAGTTGGCCTTTCCACCTAACTGGTTTTTGTGAACTAATCCAAACTCAACCTCTCATCTTCCCTTTCATAAGATAGAACTATATTTCAGACATCACTTCTCTAAGCTGGCTATGGATGCAGAGATCTGTCATATCAGGGGCCTACATGTCTCCTCCAAAGCATAAAAAGCAATGAAAAGAAACAACATGATCAAAAGAAACGACGTGAAAACAAACCAACCCTATTTTTTAAGTGTTTCCAACCTTGTTTCAAAATGGCCTTATGAGGATTGTTTTCCAAACAGCCATGGATGAAGCCATCCACTTTTGAAATCTGATTTTCCTGTGTAGACATATCCTGTTTTCTATGCTTGGAGAAGCAGGGAATACCCAAGCTGGCATTCAGCAGTAGCAAAAATGAAATAGACCATTTTTTAAAAAATTGTGTGAATGTTCAAATCCATGTTGACTGCTTTTTACATTTACCTGGCAGCACTCCGGTGCTGGGGTTGGCATGGAGACTGGAAAAGGGAACTTTCCACCAATCTGCCACTTGCTACTGTTTCCACTTACTTTACTATGAGTCCAATTTTGACAATTTTTTTCAAAGTTAAAAAAGTTTAATTCTTTTTTGTGTGTTTGTTTTTGTTTTCTGTTTCAGGCCGTTTCTCAAAATGTAACCACGGGTAAAAAAGACAGCTTTTCAAACTCAAAGATTTGGTTTTCCAAATATTCAGCTGTTTAACATTCAGATAATTGCCTTCTTCTTCTTCTTCTTCTTTTTTTTTTTTTTTCCACATTTAGTCTGAACGCTTTGGCATGGAGAACCCCACAGTCTGAGAGTAACTTTGTCCCGACTCTCCTCGCTGCATTTATTAAAGAGGCTGAAAGACGCATCTGCTTTTCAACAGTTTCTGGTCCTTAAGGGACCAGGGATCGCCAGAAGTTCTAATGTTCAGAAACAAAGTTGGGCTTCCCAAAATCTCGATGTAAGCAGGGTTGGCGGTGGTCACAGCTGGGTCTTCTTGAAATCGTTTTCACTGAAGCAAAACAGGCTAATGCTGTGTGGCATCGTCCAAGGCCGACGGGCGATTTTCCTGGGCTGGAAAGTACAAGCAGAGAGAGCTGCCTACCTATACAGTTCAAGGGGCCTCAGGCTGGCACCCAAAAGCCAGGCGTTCTCATTTCCCTTTGGCATCGTCCTGAACTGCTCAGACTGAAGCTGGCGCGATGTTGAAGAAAGGAGGAAATGCATGCGAGGAAAATCAGAGAGGAGAGGGTCGGGAACAGATGTGCGCATAAAGGGAAAGCATGAGAAATGAAAGAAAGAAATTGGACTCCCACAGCTGGAAGGACAAACCCCACAATGTCGTCAGGGATGTGGGATTAGGGGTGAGTTCGCTCGCCCTTTGTTCTCCCCCCTCCCCCCCCCCCCCCCCCCCAGTCTTCCGCATTTCCCGGTTTATTTGTTTGATGTGTGTCTTTTCTGTTCGGTTATTGGACCATGAGGCCAGACCCCAGTGGCAGTACCTGGCATGCAGCAGGCGCCGTGTGAAGACATGCCGAACAAATGATCCGGAGCTCAGGCTCCCGTCCCTCCCCTCCCCGCTCCCCCGGGGGTCTACGCGCCTGGCACGTAGTAGGCGCTCCCTAAACATCTGCACAGCAAATGAGCTGCAAGTTTTAGGCGCCGAGCACGTGGAGCCTCGGAAACCAGGACACTGAAGGAGCGCGTCTCAGACCACAAAGCGGCTGGGGCGCGTGCGAGAGGCGGCGGCGGGCGGGCGGGCGGCGAGGCGCGGGGCCTGGAGCGGGGCGCCCCGCGGGGGGCCCTGCCTGCGTGGCGCCCGGGGCGGGGGCGCAGGGAGTGGCGCGCCGGCACGTGCTCGGCCCGGGGCCGCGGGGGCCGGGGCGGGCGCGCGTGTGCGCGTGGGGGCGTGGGGTGTGTGCCCGCGCCGTGCCCCCCGCGCGTGCTGCCGGGCGGGCGCGGGCGTGAGTCACGGCGGGGCTCGCCTTTATAACGGCCCGCAGGCTCGCGCCAGCCGCCCGGCAGCCCGCCCGCCCGCCCGCCGCTCCGCGCCCCAGTCCCGCGCACCCAACGGCCCCCAACCGCCGCGCAGTCCCGAGGGCGCCATGAGGGGCCCGCGCTGCGCCCCGCTGCTGCTCCTGCTGCTGCTGCCGCCGCTGCTGCTCACGCCCCCCGCGGGGGACGCCGCCGTCATCACTGGGGTAAGCGGCCCCGGACGCACCTGTCCGCCCGGGAGGCGCGCCCGCGCTGCGCCCCGAGGGGGCTCGGGTGGGGAGCGGCACCGGGAGGGTCGCCCCGGGCAGGGACACCCGCCCCAGTCGCCCTTCGGGGCGCTGGCAGAGGTGCGCTGCTCCAAAAGCGGCAGACGGCCCGGGACTTGGGGGGAGCGCCTTGGAAGAGAAAGTGACCGAAGTGTCACCCACCGCCTTTATCACCGCCTGCTCCCGCTTGTTTTCCGTCTGATCCCCCTACAGGCTTTCTCCTCGAGTTTGGTCGGTTTTTCTGTTAAGCTGGAAGAAGTTTGCTTTCAGAGTCTTCTCTAGCACTTCTTCGCGACGTTCCAGCCTCAACCCTTAACATTTGGGAGGCCCTTTCTGCAACGCCAAGGGGCCAGACGAATATCCCCCAATCCTGAGACTTAGTCCTGTGGTCAAGGAGTGTGCACTTCGTGCTCCCTCGCAGAAACCCTTAGAAATAACTTGGTCCGAGGCCATGTGTGCTTTTTTTTATATATATATATATTTTTTTATTTATTTCTAGGAGAGAGAGAGAGAGAGAGAGACAGCGTGAGCAGGGGAGGGTTGGAGAGAGAGGGAGTCACAGACTGAAACAGGCTCCAGGCTCTGAGCTGGCAGTCAGCACAGAGCCCGACGCGGGGCTCGAACCCACGAACCGCGAGATCATGACCCAAGTGAAAGTCGGACGCTTAACCGACGAAGCCACCCAGGTGCTCCATGTGTGCGTTTTGAAAAGCACTGGGGGCGCTACCTTCTGGTTTCCAGGGCTCCCCCCCCCCCCCCAGCGTCTGGAGGTTTTCCTTGTAAAAGTTTTCCAGTTCCAGTTCCTGATAAGGCACCCCCAATGCTCTGGCATAATTACGGAGTAGGTTACAATGAGGTGTTAGTTTCAACTTAGAGAAGTTGTCCTCATCATTTTTGGCAGTAGGAACTGATTCACTTCTCTCCTACTACCACCAGTAATTTTCTCTGTGTGGATCTGAAGGATGACGAGTTTACAGTACAAAATTTTAAAATCTAGTCTACTTTAACATCAACAATGCAAAATTGCTACCATTTCCTGGTTGTTCACCTGCTTTACTCTTTTTTTTTTAAGTCTGAAATTAACACCTCCATGAAATTACTTCAATTATCTAAGTGCACATTATGGGATTTCAATAAACCTTTTGTGTTTGAACTGATGATACATAATGAAATATTTAAATTTGAGGGAAATGTCATTGTATTGAGAAAATAAAGCTCCAGTCTCCCAAGTTAGTTAATAGGTTTATAGCATCTTGAAAGACCTTGTACAATAACAGTATTTGGTTATATCCAGTAGGTATTGTAAGCATTGTGGTATTTATTACAATAGAGGTTTTTTAAAAATGTATTTAAATAGCTTAGTTAGTCAGTGTAGTTGGGGGAAAAAAAGTTTTTACAGGTCTTTCTAATATATGGGTTGGAACATGATTGGGTTTTTTTCCCCCTCTTCCCCTGCTGGCTCATTTTAAATTTCTCCTAATCCTCTGAGCCCAGAATTCCTCCGCAATATAAGTATCTTTTTGTTCCTTTCACAGGACGATACTATTTGAATAGATCTACAATGGGTTGAGGATGAAAGGCATTAAGCAACAGCTGTCTAATTAAAAAATATATAACCCTATGCAATTCTTTGTAAATACGTTCAAGAACTGAAATTTTTGGTTACAAAAATGAAATTTTATCACATTGGAGGTTTGTCTATTAGAGAGGTTTAGCATGGACTTAGATGTACTGTTTATGTTGTTTTTACCTCAGTGAATTTTTTTAAAAAATTTCTCTAAGCAACGTGGCAATAAAGAAATGTAGTTACGTCTTCATGACAGGAACCATCTGGAGCCAAATGAAAAACTTAGTAACTTAGTATCTTCACGATGTTAAACATCCAAGTGATTGATTGAATTTATAAAAGATTCTGGCTGGCCTTTGATTGTCTTATAAAAAAGGGTTAGTGGGACTTCAGAATTACGGGTCTTGTGTATCTGTTGATATAAAATACTGCCTGAAATCTCCACCTTAAAAATTTACTTTTTTTGGGGTAATCTATGTAGTTCATGTGAAATTGGTTTATATTCCACATAGTTTTGTTAAGACTGTATTGAAAAAGATCACGTACTGAACCTCTCATTAACAGAAGGTAATGGCCACATATACGTGATTTCTGGCATATGCATAAAAATTGGAAAATAGAAACATTGGGATGTTTTCATATGAATGTCCTAACACTCCAAGGTGAAAAATGTAGCGTTTGTTCAGATAGTTGTTTTAAATAGAATGAGAAAAAAATTCTAATGAGGGGAAATAAACCAACCCTGCAGCAAGATGGTTTGTAGTTTTTAAAGAAAAATAGTAAACAGGGGTGTGCACATATATTTATCTTTGGAGATCTTGTGACTGGCCCCAAAACACTGAAGGAGGAGAACTTTGGAGGAGTATTTTAGTTGTTTCCAGTAAATGTAAGAAAATTTAAATTTCTGTCTATAAATTGTAGACTTGTATTTTCTTACATGTTTTTACCTTGTCGCTAGCGAAACAGATTATTGTACACCATTCAAAGCATCCTATTTTTTGTTGGAAACATTGTTCTCTAGATCTATTTTCATGCAAATAAATTTAGACTGCATTATTTTATTTCTATTTAGATAGAGCATGAAAATTTCTCCATAGTTGATTCTTTAATTACTTGTATTTACAGTTTTTATATTGGGAACAGATCCCCTGAGTAATCATTGTTGGTAATTGTGTCTGTCGTTCTCATTTCTAAATCAGATAGATTTTTTAAAAATTTATTTCTAATGTTTTACTTATTTTTGACAGAGAGATAGAGACAGCGTGAGCAGGGGAGGGTCAGAGAGAGAGGGAGATACAGAATCCGAAACAGGCTCCAGGCTCTGAGCTAGCTGTCAGCACAGAGCCCAGTGCGGGGCTCGAACCCACAAACCGTGAGATCATGACCTGAGCTGAAGTCGGATGCTTAACCGACTGAGCCACCCAGGCGCCCCTAAAAAATCCTCAGTATTCCTGGTTTAGACTCATTGCTTTTCTCATGCCATAAAAAANGGAGATACAGAATCCGAAACAGGCTCCAGGCTCTGAGCTAGCTGTCAGCACAGAGCCCGACACGGGGCTCGAACCCACGAACTGTGAGATCATGACCTGAGCCAAAGTCGGACGCTTAACCGACTGAGCCACCCAGGCGCCCCTAAATCAGATAGATCTGGATAGTTCCACTGATTTTATAATGTATACATATGTATCCCCTAGAGCAATAATTTCCTTTTTGTAGGTTACTAACCCCCCAGAAAAGAGTAACATAAGACAGAAGTCTTAGTTTGTCCATTCCCAACCCAAGAAATTTCTTTCTTTAAAGAGGAAATGGTGAAAATCAAGTCAGTGGTGTCAGAGACATCAAGTCTCATGAACCAAAATGCAAATCTCTGAAAGGGAGAATGAGCACTTTTTAAATTTACATCAGTGCCTTTATGGGTCTGGAGCCTTTCATGCCAGATTTAGAGACCATTTTAATCCCTTTTTAAAATTGGCCCCAATGTATTCTGCAGTTAATAGTCATAAAGTCTTGTGATTCAGTTTCTGTAGTTCCTAATGGTCATGTATGGTATAAGACTAATGTAGCCTCGTTTTTCAAGTTCAAAGCCAATTCAGCCACAAAACCCTAGAAAAAGAGAGGTGATTTTCTATGTGTGTGTGTGTGTGTGTGTGTGTGTGTTTAACACACATGACATTTTCTATGTGTGTTGATTTAAGATTCTCATAATGTGTAAACCGTTATTTAGGCCATTGTTTTTAAACTAGGAAAATCTCTCCTGATCAGATTTTATTCTAAATGAAGATTACAGTTCTTTTTCATGTGTGAGTAGTAAAATCCTCGTGGTTGGGTATTTAAAGATCCCTTTGTACTGCTAATTTTGGATTTCCTTAGCCTGAGTCTTCCCTGCTCTCTGTATTGATCTGTCTGTCTGTTACCTTTCAGGCCTGCGACAAGGACCCCCAGTGTGGTGGCGGCATGTGTTGTGCTGTTAGTATCTGGGTTAAGAGCATAAGGATTTGCACACCTATGGGCAAAGTTGGAGACAGCTGCCATCCGCTGACTCGTAAAGTTAGTATATATACGTGTATCTGGATTCTTGGTGGTTTTCTAACGTTGTGGCCACTCAACTCTCAGCAAGGCCTGAGTGGCATGAAACCCAGTGTAATGTGCTTGAAATTACAAGTGAGAGAAGATGACGATGGAAAAGCACCTCCTCTCCCCTCTCCCTTCCCTTTATAAAGAACTGTATCCTCCACCATCCTTACCCTGTGAATCATTTTCATATCATGACATTAGAAACGTTTCATAAAAATAATCTCAAAAATGTGCATTTGCCTAAAAATTATTTAGGATAAAATATATATACATGTATATTTACACATATGTATGTATAAAATGCAGTGCATGTTTCTTTGCAGAAATCAGAGTATAGACGTTCTTGAGAGGGCGTTTAATAGCAGACGTACTGATAAGGCAGAAGTAGATAACTTTGTGTTTTGTCTCTTACAGAAAAGCATCAATGATACAGTTACCTTTGTAGCTTAATTTAAAAGTCGTATTTTTTCACTCGATCTATGCAGTATTCAGTTCATAAGCTTTGACGTTAATGGTGTTTAACTTTCCAGTTCATGCTCTTATCTAACAGTATAAATATCCTAATGACCTGAACAACACTACCGAGCAGTTTTGGCAATAAGGGGCGTGACCATATGGTGGCAGGGTTGGACATCGCTGTAGAGGGTGTGTTGTAGACTCTGAGGTCTACAAGGGTCCTTGAGTTAAGTTGCTTCGGGAAGGGAGTGGAAAGGGGAGCGGAAAGGGGCGGAAAGGAGACAGGAGGGAGCGGAGGAGTCTGTGGAGCCTGGAGAGTCTCGGCCCTTTCGAATCAGAAGCTTGAAACTGGTGGGCTCTCAGTAAGCTCCCCCAGGGAGGCCAGGTGGCAGTGGCATGCTCCTGTAGGGCCACCTCCTCGTTTCACCCAGCAGCAGAGGGAAGTGCACAGCACCGGAGGGCATGTCCGAGGCCGGGCGGCTCAGCCTCTCTGCAGCGTTCTCTACATGCTGTATACTCCTGTCTGAAAATAGATGGGGGGATCAGGTGCCTGGGAGGCTCAGTCAGTTGAGCGTCTGATGCCGGCTCAGGTCATGACCTCATAGTTTGTGAGTTCGAGCCCTGCGTCGGGCTCTGTGCTGACAGCTAGCTCCGAGCCTGGAGACTGCTTCGGATTCTGTGTCTCCCTCTCTCTCTGACCCTCCCCTGCTTGTGCTCTGTCTCTTTCTGTCTCTCTCAAAAATAAACATTAAAAGAAATTTTTTTAAGTAGGGTGTTTTTGAAGCAAACCAGACCCCACCTTCTACCTGTGGTTTAGGGTTGAAAGCTGTAGTAAGGCCCCATGTCTTCCTCGTATGCTACCGTTGCAAGTAACAGTTACTGTTTTGACTTTCTCGGAGTAAACGTAGTGCAGTCAATTGGCTTGTGTTTAGTTCTGGGAGCTGTAGGGACTCCACTTGTTTGGGTCTCTCTGAGGGCCGAGTCTGGCTTTCCTGCGGTTTCCTTGAGAAATACTTCTGTTCCGCTTAGCCCATCCCTCCCTGTGGTTTTACCGTCATTCTGAAGCATGACCCGCACCTTTCATTCCTGGCTACTCGAGGACTGGAAGGGTTGTAAACCGTTAGTTGTCTGTCTCCATGCCAAGCTCCCTGCAAAGAGGTGACCCCAGCCCAGCCACCCATGGCATTGATGTCTGGCCTTTCATCACTCTTATCAAGGGCGAGTCCACGTTTGAGTCACTGCCATTGAGAAGTTTACTTTTAAGAATGCTGTTGTCACACGGTGTTAGTATAACCTTACACTCCCTGCACACTCGAGCCCTGCGGCCCGTCTGCTAAAACAAGGAGAGAGTGACTCATGTGACTCAACTGCTCTTTGTAATGATAGCAGTTGCCGTCGCCACCTGTTGAAGGCACACGCTCTGCACTGAATGTTTTTATCTAATACGAGGTGCCTGTGCAGCACATTTGTTTTGTCCTGTTCTGCCTACAACCCGTGCGGCTTCGGAGGGGACACAGTAACTGCTAAGGTCACAAGGTGACAGGTCGCCCAGGAGACCCCGGGCTCCATTTCTGCCTGACGCCCCAGCCAGTGTGTTTGTGGTGTGAATCACCCTACTCTTCTGCCTCTGAGAGAGAGACGTTTCATCGGAACGCTTTGTACCCCAAGTAACCCAGGCTGGTCGGTGTGGGGCGAGGGAGAGTGGTGTCCCGTGTGGGAACTGGTCACAGTCTATGTAGTTGTGATGAGGTTCCCAAATCTGAGGTTATTTTAAAAAGAGAACCAAATTGTGTTTCCCCGTGTTTCAAAATGATTTCCAGTTCAGGTCTTGTGCAAGGGCCTTTCTGAGAGTAAACAAAATCCTTCTCGCACAAACCCAGGTGTATCTCTGCACTTTGGTTTTTACCGTTGTTTTAATAATAAAGCCTTTAATCAGTTATGGTTTTCATATTAGAATTAAATGATAAAAGAACTGAAGGATTAAAAAAAATAAAGGCTTTATGTCAGATCTTACCTTTTCCCCTATTCAGATACTCACTTGAAAAGTTTTTCTAGAACCCAGTGTTACAACTTTCCATCCAGGTACTTTTCTGTCTTGAAAATATACATTTTCCTGGGTCATTTCAATGACCTATTTTTATTTTTTATTTCAAATGTTTAATGTTTTATTTATTTCCGAGAGAGAAAGAGAGCGAGCGTGAGCAGGGGAGGGTCAGAGAGAGAGGGAGACACAGAATCCGAGGCAGGCTCCAGGCTCTGAGCTGTTAGCACAGAGCCCGACATGGAGCTCAATTCCATGAACTGTGAGATCATGACCTGAGCCAAAGTCAGAGGCTTAACCGACTGAGCCACCCCGGTGCCCCTCAATGACCTATTTTTAGAGTAGGTCCAGGAGCTGTTAATTGTTTTGGGTGGAATTAATTTATCCTGGTAAAAATCTAGTTACTTCCAGATTATCCCTCCACTATATTGGATTCAAAATGACTTGAGAAAAAAAAAATTTTGTAAGTGTATCCTGGTGAACGTAATATACATAATTCAACACCAAACTACAGTTTAATAGCTCGTCAGTAAATGGTAAAAATGTAGACTGTGCATAGAAAATACTATTTTAATATGACATGTTCAGTACTTTTTTCTTCCTTTTTTTCTTTTGTTTATTTTTCTTTGTTTTGTTTTTAAAGAAGGGATTAACTGGTTATGATCACAGGGATTGGTGTTTTTAAAACAGGACTATGAATAAGTGAAGACTACTCCTGTTTAAATTTTAAACTTTCCATTCTGGCTTGACTTTGTCGTTAGCCACAAGTGTGTGTTTCTTTTGATAAAGTGAATAATATTTGATGAATGAAATTGCAAACTACAGGTAGGAATTGATAGTCACTGGGTTCAGTTTACTATTTTATTTCAGATACATCAACCAAATTGTGGAGTTTATAGTGACTGCCGGGCTATAATCACATAGTTGTACGATTTTTAACGTATCAAACATAAGTTTGATAGTTCAAAAGTAGAATAAAAGATCATTCTCCATAAGAGCAATTTATGTTTTCCAAACACTTATTTGGTCAAACGAAAGTTTTAACATGTATTCATCTTTAACAGTTTTCTAACAATTAAGGATAAATTGCTGAATCATTTATCTGCAAGGGATATTTCACTGTCTCAAAAAAAACATTATTTTAATATTTTAATAGATACAGACACTTTTCAGAGTTTACAAAAATTAAGGAAGCCATTTCTATCCTGTTCTGATTACTGTTTGGCTCTGGAAGTTTATAACTCTGTGATTCTTTTATTTTTATAACTTGTCCTTTATTATTTTTTCATTTAAAAAATTTTTTTTTTTAATTTTTTTTTTTATGTTTTATTTATTTCTAGGAGAGAGAAACAGCGTGAGCAGGGGAGGGTCAGAGAGAGAGGGAGTCACAGACCGAAAGAGGCTCCAGGCTCTGAGCTGGCAGTCAGCACAGAGCCCGACGCGGGGCTCGAACCCACGAACCGTGAGATCATGACCTAAGCGAAAGTCGGACGCTTAACCGACTAAGCCACCCAGGCGCCCCTATTTTTTCATTTTAAACAATTATGTTTCCTCCAAAAAATGTTTATATGCTAACACTTTTTAGTAGCAGTTTTGTTTTTTGTTTTCTGGGTTGGTTTTTTTTTTCTTCTTTATAGGAACACTTTAGTACTTGACGAGTATATTCTCTTTTTCTGAAAAAAAATTTTTTTTTTCAAATTAACACCTGGGATTTGTTTGTGTTTTTTTTCTTAAAGGAAGATTTTTAAAATTATTAGCTGTTTCTGCTTTAGAAACATGATAAGACATCATGTACATAATTTCAGGATAGGGTATTACTTTACAAACCTATATTAACTAAAATATGACTTCCGTAAGTCTAGCATTTAGTGGAAGACGGGTGGAAGAAAGCTTAGGAGGTTAATTTCCTCATGTTTCCTATCACAGGTATCAAGAGCCACTATCTACATTTTCTTCAGGGTAGCATCATCGCTGTGAATACAAGTTCATTGTCGTGGAGACTCAGAGGACATAGATATATCTATGTCTGTATACTAATAGATTTACTAAGTATACTGCTGATAGTATGGGTCCCACAGCTCTCCACTGTCAGGCTGTCCCGGGCCCTCAGCAGCATCCCTGGGCTCCTCCCACTAGATGTGAGTAGCCTCCTCTCTCGGTGACAAGTAACCATGTCTCCAGACTATGACAGATGTCCCCTGTGACAGTTTGGGGGATGGAAACTGCCCAGGTTGAGCACCACTGAGCTACCACTACCTGTACTTAGCCTCACAGGACACAGTGAGGGGACACGGCAGCACCATTGCATTGGGCACTCAGCAGCTCCCCATGCAAACACTTTGTGTGTCCTCTCTTCCACACAGGGTACTTGTGGCTGCCACAGAGGAGAGCCACGTGGGTCCTCTAGACTCACAGAAGCTATACCTGCCATTACTTCTTGCCAATAGTTTACATCCCTCTCAACCCAGAGGCCCGGGCATGCATGCCAACAGCTTTCCCAACCCGAGTGAAGTTCCACACAATCCGTGAGACCACCCCCTTCCCCCACCAGCCCTGTTTTCCTTTGCTCTTTTCCAAGGGCACAGTGCGGCAGGAGGCCAGATCCCATGTGGACTTTCTACTCGCAAGAAGACAAATAATTGCTTTATTTAGGGTTGTATGAATATACACTTAATCCTAACGAAAATTGAAGAAACACTTTGAGATTTGACCCAATGAAAATACACTGATGATCTTCCTCATTATTAAAACTGGAGAGTGTAGGAATGGACAGAAACTCTGAGACTTCGGGTTTCTATTTTATGCACTGTTACGGCTATTTGAAATTTTGCGAACTGTGTACTTTTGTTGACAAAAGCTAATGTAACAAAACTGGCTTTATTGAAAACACACATAAGATTTTTTTTTTATTGAGGTGAAATTTGTATATAAATTATGTAAGTTTCAGGCATGCAACATTGTAATTTGACATCTGTCTGAAGTATAAAGTGATCACCACCAGAAGTCTAGGTACCATCTGCCCCTGTTCATTGACCCCTTCCCCGTTTTGCCCACCCCAAAATTCCTCCCACATTGGACCAGCGCTTTTTATGTGACATGACCAGAGCTTTCTTCATGTATTCTTTTTTTTTTTAAAGTTAATTTATTTATTTTGAGAGAGACAGAGAACGAGTGGAGGAGGGGTGGGAGAAGAGAGAGGGGAGGGAGAGAGAGAGACTGAGAATTCCAAGCAGACTCCACACTGTCAGCACAGAACCCAAATGGGGATCCATTCACAAACCGTGAGATCATGACTTGAGCTGAAATAGACACTTAACTGACTGAGCCACCCAGGTGCCCCCGTATATCCGTCTTCATATTTCTTTCTTTAGCAAAACTGACTCTGTTGTGAGAGAAATCACAAATAATACATTTGTTTTGTATCAGTGCTGTTATTTTCTCTTTAAAAACTGCCACAGATGGATAAGAATCATGCCTTCTGGAAAGTGCTAAAAGTCCTACCTTGGCTATTTCTAGAATTTTCTGTTTGGAATTTTAGGCTATTAGAAACATTGTATTGAGTTCATTCTAAACTAAACCGTCAAATTTGGACGGAATGGTTAGCTCCTTGGCTATATGTGTGCCTCCGAATATGCGTCTTCTATATACTTTCTCATGTGTCTGTGGCTATCGGACACCTATTATGTTTGTCACACGGCATATGTCGATCTGGAAATGAATGGGCCTGTTGAGAAACTGCCCAGTATCTAATAAGGGTATAATATCCTAAATGGGGTTCTTTGTCATTAGAAGCTTATGGATGGAAGGGGTGGAGGAAAACCCGCTATGGGTGGGGGCAGGTTAAAAAAAAAGCCTTGGAAGAGGGAGAAAGAAAGCCAGATATGGAAAGAGGGGAGGTGGGCTTGGTAAGAACAAAAAAAGGGCGTCCAGGTATAAATGGCCCTGTGGGATAGTCTAATCGTTAGGTTAAGATTGTCAGGGCTAATGCCACCTTGGTGCCCTCAGTAAGAAAAAGGATCATTCACAATACTTTTGACGTTTTGTTAGTTTTTGAGAGAGAGAGAGCGAGAGAGACAGTGCATGCAAGCAGAGCAGGGGCACAGAGAGGGAGACAGCAAGTCCAACGCAGGCCCTGTGCTGACAGCAGCGAGCCTGATGCGGGGCTCGAACTCACAAGCTGCGAGATCATGACCAAAGCTGAAGTTGGATTCTCAACCGACTGAGCCACCCAGGTGCCCCCACAATATTTTTGAAAGCATCACAAAGACCTATGGCCTTGTGAGCCCACTGCCAGGGCCCTACAGAGCCCTGGAGGGAGCTGCACAAGGGAGGCCCTCAGCTCGTCTGGCTTCACAGTAGAGCCACCTCTGAGTTTGGTGGCACGAGCCACTCGGGGCCCTGCTCGGGGCCCTGCTCGGTGCCAGGCAGCGGTGCTCAGAGTGAGCAGAAGCCCCAGGACCTGGAAGGCCACCCCCCTGCCTTCAGGCGGCGCCTAGTGTGTGGCGCCTAGTGTGTGGCGAGATAGGCATTGCACACCTGTTTTCTCAGCTGCCTCCTGTGGGCCAGGCTAAGGGCCACATGCTCGCAGGAGATCTTTCTTCACAGAGTTTCAAAGTTGGGGGGGGGCCCGTGGTGTTTGAGAAAAGAACACGCACTGGAAGAAAGTGGGACTGGGTTTATGATATGTCCACTTCACCTGGGTGACCGCGGGCAGCCACGTTACTTCACCTCTAGAGGAAGCCACTTATGGGGCGCCTGGGGGGCTGAGTCGGTTGATTGAGCGTCCAACTTCAGCTCAGGTGGTGATTTCATGGTTCGTGAGTTCGAGCCCCATGTCAGGTTCGCTGCTGTCGGCACAGAGACCGCTTCAGATCCTCTGTCCCCCTCTCTGCCCCTCTCCCACTCTTTCTCGCTCTCTCTTTCAAAAATAAGTAAACATTAAAAATAGAAGACGCCACTTAGCTTGCGTCAAAATGAGGCAGAAATCTGGCACCCGGGTTTGGTGTGACGTTCATGCCCAGTGCCGTATGCAGCCTGGCTGTGGCCGTGGCCACCACGGTTAGTTTTCTTTGCTGCTCTCTTCAGGGCACTAAGAACCCCCATGAGAGGCCAGAGAGGGATCCTGGTCCCTCGGTGGACACACTGCAAGGCCGTGAGGACCGTGAGGACACTTACTCACAGCTTAAACTCTCTTACTGGTTACCTGTCTTCCCTCATTCAGATTGAAGCTCCAAGCAGGGCAGAGGCCTTTCCTCTTTTGTCCAGCGCCGTATCCGTAGCACCCAGAATGAGGACTGATATGCTGGTGACCCTGACCCTCTGCCGAAGGAGAGAATGAAAGGACCCCACGCGGCGCTGTCCATGCAGCACAGCCGGCCGTGTGCATTACAGTTACAGTTCACTTATTTTGGTTCCTTTCCCTTCATTCTTGCTGCCCATGTTCATTTGTCTCCGCGGCAGCGCTGTTGGGCCAGGTGGCTCTTCGTTATTGGAGGCTGTGCTGTGCGTTGTAGGCTGTTTAGTAGCATTCTCTGACCTGTCCCCACTAGATGTGACTGACACTCCTTCCCCCACGTTGTGACAAACACATCTCTGGATATTGCCAGACGTGCCCCCAACAGAATCGCCCCCAGCTGAGAACTTCTGGCCCATGCCAGTAGTTTTAGGTCTGACAAAGTGAAGCGCTCCGAGTCTCGGGGCTAGACTAGATCGTGAAGGTCCTGGGTGCCACCCTCTCATGCGGTCCACCTGTAATCGTCCACGCCAGTCGACCTGCGCCCACCTCCTCTGACATGGTCTCCATGCCGGTGACTGAGCTACCCATCCATGTGCGCTCTGACGCGCACAGTGACAGAACCATTCTGCGCACAAGTCTGCACGGAGCCGACGGCCGTGGCACCTGCGTGTGGGCACTGTCCTCGCGGCCTTGGAAATGAGGCCCTTGTAAAAAAGGCAGAGGGTTGGCCCTGCCTGTTCGCCCCATGCACACCCTGCCCTCCGATTGCTTCCCTCTCTTCCTTTTGTATTTGTTGATCACAGTCATTTCCCTGGCCCTTCCAGAACCATTTTGGAAATGGAAGGCAGGAAAGAAGAAAGAGGAAGAGAAGAAAAAGGAAGAAGGAGGTAAGAGGGACATTAGCCTGGTACCAACCCCAAGGCAGTGCCCAGTAGAAGCAGCCCCGACCGTGGGTGGACCACCGTGCAGTTGGGTCTGTCCTATTAGCTCAGCCCTGAGAGAAGGTTAGAATGGTTCTGTCACTGTCTGCACAGTCGTTCTTTTTTATGTACAAAGAGAATACTTAGAAGGCATCTGGAAGATACATCTGAGAGTTCCTCCTCAGGGCAGATAATTGGTATGGGGCGGCCTCTTTTGGTGGAATAGAATTAGGAAATACACTAGAATGATTAGCAAATACAGCATCTGAATTGAGACACAGAAAGGATGCATTTTTCTGCCGTGTGTCAACTGTAGAAGCATCCCTAAGGCATGAGTCTCTAGTAGCTCGCCTCTCTCACGTTACCCTGGACGGGAGTCATTTGCCATCCTGTTTCATTGACTGTCAACTGCCTCCAGGCCTGGGGTTAAACTTTCTTGCCATAACTTGCAAAGTAGGCAGATTCTCAAGAGGGCACGATTCTCAGGGGAGGGAGAATGGATTTTGTTCTTTGCCTCTAGAGAGTATATGTACTTTGAGGTGCCCCCATGCCCCTCAGACAAAGGACCCACCATGCCAGTGTCTCCTTAACCCAGCTTCATTGGTGGCCTGGCCAAGACTGAGAAATACCAGCCGATGACTCTTGCAATGAATCCGACCTTTCTGTGCTGGCTCTCCCTAGGCCAGGGTTTGGTTTGTTCATTTCTGTGACTCAGGCTTGCCTCCTTCCCTAATTTCTCTCTCGTTCTTCTCCAACCCACACCTCCTGGAATTTTGACCCCTCTGCCATCTGTGAGCAAGCACGTGAATTTATGTATTGATCATTGTCAGTGACTTCGTATTTACTCAATATATGGATGTGGCCCTGTCCTTAATGTTATGCCCTCCTTAATGAGCTTCATTAGTAGAATGCTATAAAAAGGAAAAATGAGAAAAAGTGAAAGGCAGTATAGCTTCGTGGTTAAAAGCTTGGTCTCTCTGGTCCGGGTGGCCAGCCACACTTCAAGTTCTGGGTGTGTGACCTTAAGCAAGTTACTAATCTCTGTGCCTCCGTCTCTCATTTGTAAAATGGATATAATTGAACCTTTTGTCATCTTCACAGAGTGGTTGTAAGGATGGCAAAGGATAATAAAGAGCTGAGCATGTTGAATGGTTCACAATATAACACTAGCTGTTGTTATCCAGAGATCTCTGAAGAATAGCTTTTGGTTGTGTGTATTTGGGTGTGGGTTTTTTTTTTCCATTTTGTTTTGTTTTTAATGATTCCTGCTCTGACTCCATTTTCTTCTTTTATCTTAGGTTCCATTTTTTGGGCGGAGAATGCATCACACATGTCCATGTATGCCGGGCTTAGCCTGTTTACGGACTTCATTTAATCGGTTTATTTGTTTAGCCCGAAAGTAATTACTTTCGAGTAAAAACTTTAAATGTGAACAGCCACATGATGTCTATAAAGTCTATCTACTTGTGATTGTGCCAAACAAGTAATATGCCATAAAGAAATGCTCTTGCTTCCTCAACTATCCAAGTAACATTTCTATCTTTGATGTTTAGATGACTTTTCTTTTTGTTTTTCCCACTGAAAGAGGATTTCAGTTTTGGATAGAAATGTAAAGTGCAGGGCATTACAGAACCGGTTCTCATCTCCCTATTTGTGTTTTGGTTAGGTTTGGCCTTTTTTAATGCCAATAACTCACCCATTTTCACAGAAACAGAATAAGAATTTTGTATTTTTGTTACAGAAACTTCTTTCTCTGAACTCTCCACCCCGGGCCTGTCCACCACACACACCCACACACACACCCACACCCACACCCACACACACACGCACACAAGCACACGCACACACACACACAGACACTCTTTAGGGTCTTTTCTCTCCTCAAAGAATTTTAAGGTCCCTGCTTTATCTTTGATGTTTCCTTTCTGGGCCCTTTAGCATTTTAAGGAGGGGCACAGGGTTGTTACATATGCTTTTGCTTGCTGGCAAAATCACTGTGAAGAATGCAGCTTTTTTGCCTGATACAGCAGAGGGCGTGTGGTTGAACTAGACACTTCTGACTCTCTCCCGGCTGGACTCTCTCCCAGCTGCAGTGAAGGGAGCCTGCCCTCCAGCTTGCCCCGAGCCTGTCCATGCGACAGAGCCTCAGACCCACTGTGTGACACGTGTGACTCAGGAGGCATGGGAAGTCAATTTAGACCGTATTTCTAGATTTGGGTTTGAAAAAAACAAAACAAAACACTTCTCCAATACAATGTTACAGTTACTTCTTTTTCTTTTTATGAATTTTTTTTTTAACCTCATAGTTAGACATTTCCAGAAAACGTCACTTGAAGAGGAAGTATTGATTTTAATCTGGCATAACACTAGTTACCATTTTAAAATCGGTATTAAGATTTAAACTCTACTTGTAACCAAAAGGTCTATTGTAATGGATTACCTGACATCCTGCCGTGTGTACCTATATCAGTATTGCTGTGTAAAAATTCTGTATCAGAATAATGACAGTATTGTATATCATTTGATTTATTTTAATATTATATCCTTATTTTTGTCACCGTTGTCAGTTTTTATTGCAAGCATATTGCTATTAGCTCACATTCTAAAATGGGGAGAGACCCCAACCTCGGTAAAATAGCAGTAACAGGATTTGCGTGTTTGCTTTACGTACCGGAAAGTTCTGTTTGCATGAATTTTAAGGTAGTACAGAAAATAAACAATGTGTAAATCAGTGAGGGTTTTGGAACAAGAAGGAAAACTGTGACATGCAGAGCTGGTTGTAACCAGGACTGAACTCATGGGATGGCACTGTCCTGAGTCAGCATAGAGTGACCCACCGTTTATGAAGAGCTGTCAGGCAGGATGCGAGGCACTAGCCTTAAGGTGGTGCCAGTGTGGCCCAGCCTTGCAAAACCCACCACGTATTGTGAATGGAATCAACGTCGCAAATAAACAACTTATGAAACGTGTTTAACTGAGTAACCTTGACCGTGCCAATCCACTAACCATTGCCCCCCAAAAATAAAGAATAGTGTCCATTTTGTAGTATTCAGCCAGCACTCATAGTTGCACATTGTGTGGAACTTTACCCTGGGGGCTCATGTGTCCCATAAATAAATGTATGGGATTTTGCTGTACTAATTACCATATTTGGTTCAGCTTAGTTTGCTTTTTCATTTTTGTTTAATGGAGAGAGAGAGAGAGAGAGAGAGAGAGACAGCGAGCATGAGCAGGGGAGGGCCAGAGTGAGAGGGAGACCCAGAATCTGAAGCAGGCTCCAGGCTCCCGAGTTGTCAGCACAGAGCCTGACATGGGCCTCGAACCTACAGACTGCGAGCTCATGACCTGAGCTGAAGTTGGATGCTTACCCGGCTGAGCCCGCCAGGCGCCCCTGGTTCAGTTTAGTTTGTGTGCAAGAAACATTCCTCAGGGAGTTTGTTGGAAAAAAACATTGCCTTCAGCAAGTGCAATTATGGGTGAAGAGACAGGAGCTTCAGCCATTTTGCTAAAATGTCGCTTTCTTTTAATGTTTGATACAACCTTCTTCTTAAGTCCTAAAAACTTGATTGGGTCAACCATCCATTTCACCCAAGTTAAAAAACATATAACAAGCTTTTATAAAATTCTGCTTCTACATATACCAACTCAGTTTTTAAAAAAATATCACTAAAAAGAAGTAGGTCGTAGGATAACCAAGAGAAGGAATGTGAGGTTTGTGTAGAAAACTCGGAACTACATCTACAGACTCACTCACTACCATTCAAAGAAAAACAGTAAAAAACATTTGTTACCTCTCCTCTCGATTGTTATTTTTATCAGGGGAATAACTCCTTTCTTTGTAAGGTACAGCTTTATTTGGTTAGTGTTTGTTTTTTTCACTTGTCACCAGCGCTAGCACCTTCCAAATAATTGTTCCAAAAAGACTTGTAATCGTGTTCCACGGAGACTCTTGAAAATCGTTGTATGCGAAGTGCACCAACTTCTGCTCTCTGAGGACTGTGCCGCTCTTTCTTCCTTCCCCAGGATGCTCTTCTCCCCATACTTGGGACTTTAGAGGCCAGGATTTCTGCAAGGTACGGCAAACTGAAAATTTACACAAGTTAAAAGTCCGCAGTCTACTTTGATGTCAGTACCGAGTGTGAATTCCATCTATGCTAAGACAGAAATAGATCTTAAGCCAGAGCCTATGAGCCAAAGTCAAGCGGACCTCCCAGATGCCTTTGCAAACACTGACTTAGGTGAAAGCCATCATTGCGGACTTCAGCCTTTTTTGTTTTTGAAGCACCATCTTTTTCTGACCACGGAAAAGTTTGTGCTAGAACCATTTCCTTACAAACGCTCTCGTCTAACTGAAGGCCTTCTTTCTTGCCAGCATCTCAGTGTTGTTCTGATTTTGGAGCTCTACGAAGTCAGTCCAGTGATCGATCACACATCTAAGCCACTTTTCTCCTTGATTGGTTTTAATATCCGAAATCTCATCCCATTCAGAATTTTCTGGCTTCATTTTTTAAAAGATTAAAGCTGGGGACTATTTTAATTATAAAAACAGGGCAGGTTTGGTATTCAGGGAGGATCACTGTCTGAAATTCACCAACAACCTTTTTATGATCATTCCATTCTGACACGTTGCCGTGCATTTCCAGTAGTGCTCCCAGAGTGAATATTTCTTTGGTTCTTAGGCATCTTCCCCCTGCTTTGTTAATGGTGAGTGCACCTTTTTGCACTAAAGAGAACTGCATCTCTGCTAATATCTTTAACAACATAATCCCTAAGTGAATTTAGTGCCCCCAAAAGTCAGGGCACTTTTCAGAGCACACATCTCCACAAACTAGAGATGCCATTAATACCCTGCTCCTGAAGGACCACTCCTTTTTTTTTTAAATCCATCACCTTTAGAGGTTCTGGTTCAGTTTGTCTGGGTGAGGCCTAGGTGTTGGGATTTTTATTTTATTTTATTTGAAGCTACTTCTTTGATTCTGAGGTGCACCCATGGCTGAGAGCCACTGAGAAGGAATAAAGGAATGTGCTTCTATAGAAAAGCGGCTGCTTCCCCATGACACCCCTTTATGAGACCCCTTTCTAGCGAGATGAGTGGTGGAGCGAGTAGCTCATGTCTGCCTTTCCTGGCCACCCCCCAAGGGCCCCTGTGATCCTCTAACATCAGTGAATCTCTGTTTTGGGTTTTTTTTCCTCCCACCATGACTTCTCGAGGGGCCTTCACAGAAGTGTCCCGCTGGAGAACTTCCATACATTCCAGAGCTCATTTGAGGAGTCTGTTCAAAGCTCCTGGGAGTTAGATTACGGAAGCAGCCGGCTCCCCGCTGGCCCCAAGGCAGGCAGTGCAGCGCGGCTCCCTTGGTCTGTTGCCCTCGGTCTTCCTCCAGGCACACCCTCCCAGGTGACAGCTTCCCAGCGCCCCCCCCCCCCCCCCCCCCCCCCCCCCCCCCCCCCCCCCCGCCACCTCCTAGCCCCATGGTGCTGTATATCTCCAGATTTCATTCTGTTTGACTGGGCCCTTAAATCGTCAAAATGCTTCAGAAAGTCCAATATGGCAACAAACTGTAACTGAATAACACACATTAGTAAGCCTTTTAATAAAACCTACATATGCCACAAGAGATTAAAAGGCAAGAGAGTAGGGGCGCCTGGGTAGCCCTGTCGGTTAAGCGTCCGACTTCGGTTTGGGTCGTGATCTCACAGTGTGTGGGTTTGAGCCCTGCGTCGGGCTCTGTGCTGATGGCTTGGAGCTTGGAGCCTGGAGCCTCCTTCCAGTTCTGTCTCCCTCTCTCTCTGCCCCTCCACTTGCTCGCACTCTGTCTCTCTTGCTCAAAAATGAACATTAAAAATGTAAAAAAAAAAAGGGGGGGAGGCAGGAAAGTAGAAAATCATGGCTAAAATGGCCAGGCTAGTCTGTATCGTGTACATACATAGTATCTACCGCTGTGTCCACGGCGGACTTTCCATCACCTTGAAGGAGGCCTAGAACCGGCTAGAAGGCCCACTCACCGGCTGTGCCAGCCGGGCGAAACCCTGCCTGCCCCCCGCAGTGCCAGCTGGGGGGTGTTTCCAGGCATTCGCTCACTTTAATCCAGGATTTCTGCATACCAACGCTACTGACTTTCTGGGCCAGGCCAGTGTTTGTTGTGAGACAGTGTTCTGTGTTCTATAGGCTGTGTAACAGCACCCCTGTCTCCTACCCACTAGATGCCACATAGTTCCCCTAAACTGCCACACCCCAAAATGTCTCTAGACCTTACCAAATGAGTAAGTACGGGTAAATTGTCCCCCATGAGACCCACTGGTTTAGTCTGAAGATATTTTGTGTCTGCTTGTATCAATTTTGTTTCAGTATCAGACAAAATTTGAAACAGCAGTATTAGAAAAATTAATCCACCAATGGGGGCTCAACAAATAGGTATTCTAAAAATTAAAAAGACAAATAGAAAACTCCCACTTTGAATATAACCAAAGTAGTGGAAAGGTAAACATGTGATACATTTTCATAGCCAACCAAAGAAATATCAGTTGTGGGGCACCTGGGTGACTCAGTTGGTTAAAATCTGACTCTTGATTTTGGCTCAGGTCATGCTCCCAGGGTTGTGGGATTGAGCCCCCGTGTCAGGCTTCGCACTGAGCATGGGGCCTGCTTGAGATTTCCTTTCTTCCTCCGCCCTTCTCCCCCAGGGGGCTCACATGTACTTTCTTTCTCTAAAGTAAAAAATATATATATTAAAATTAAAAAGAAATATCTATTTTATCTCAGCTCTGTAGTTTATTGTTTCAAGGAAGAAATTTTTTTTTTATTTTTTTTAATGTTTTATTTATTTCTGAGAGAGAGAGAGGCAGCGTGAGCAGGGGAGGGTCAGAGAGAGAGGAAGACACAGAATCCGAAGCAGGCTCCAGGCTCTGAGCTAGCTGTCCGCACAGAGCCTGACACGGGGCTCGAACCCACGAACCGTGAGATCATGACCTGAGCCAAAGTCTAATGCTTAATCGACTGAGCCACCCAGGCGCCCCTCAAGGAAGAAAATTTTTAATAAGCCACTCTTTAAAGCATAAGGCCAAGGGCTCAGATGAAACAACCTCAATCATAGGTTAAAGATTTCACATCTCTGGAGTGGACTTCTGAGCAAGTTTCCACATTGCTTCAACCCAGATTTTCACCATCTTGATTAAAATGTGATATAATTTATGGGAAAAAAATGTTCTTGTTGCAGAAATTCAAAAGCTTTACAAGAAAAAGTTGAAGAAAAAAAAATTTTTTTTTAATTAAGTTAGATTTGAGTAGTTATTCCTTTCTGCCCGTGGACGCCACCGAGTAAGCATCGATAGTCTCTCCTCCCACCGCCGTCATGTCTAAGTCAGAGTCTCCCAAAGAGCCTGAACAGCTGCGGAAGCTTTTGATCGGAGGTTTGAGCTTTGAAACAACCGATGAGAGTCTGAGGAGCCATTGTGAGCAATGGGGAACGCTTACGGACTGTGTGGTAATTAGAGATCCAAACACCAAGCGCTCCAGAGGCTTTGGGTTTGTCACCTATGCCACTGTGAAGGAGGTGGATGCGGCCATGAATGCAAGGCCACACAAGGTGGATGGAAGAGTTGTAGAACCAAAGAGGGCTGTCTCGAGAGAAGATTCTCAAAGACCTGGTGCCCACCTAACTGTGAAAAAGATTTTTGTTGGTGGCATTAAAGAAGACACTGAAGAACATCATCTAAGAGATTATTTTGAACAGTATGGGAAAATTGAAGTGATCGAAATCATGACTGACCGAGGCAGTGGCAAAAAGAGAGGCTTTGCTTTTGTAACATTTGATGACCATGACTCTGTAGACAAGATTGTTATTCAAAAATACCATACTGTGAATGGCCACAACTGTGAAGTAAGGAAGGCTCTGTCTAAACAAGAGATGGCTAGTGCTTCCTCCAGCCAAAGAGGTCGAAGTGGTTCTGGAAACTTCGGTGGTGGTCGTG